ACAGTATGTGAATTGAAGTCGTAAGTTAATTCAATTTTTCAATTCAAATGCTAAATTTTATTTAAGATGTTTACAAGAAGAAGTACTATTCGCTTAATTTGTAATTCATTTGTTTTCCTTATCAATATATATGGATATTTTTTAAGTGACCGGAAGTGAACATGAAAGATTTGCTTTGCTTACTTGATTTGTGGAATTAATTGCGTTTTGTTATCTTTACGTTCGACTTTACTCAAAAAGCTCAATTAGTATATAAATGAACAATTATATATTTGAAAAAACAACAACAAACAAACAGAAATATTAAATGTCATTTAATCAACTTTTTTGCTATATTAACTCTTATTTTGAATTGTGGTTATGGAATATGCATGTACTGTCTTTAATAGATTAACACTTTGATCAGAGCCTCAATAAAAAAAAATATATTAATATATGCATATTAACACTTACTTGTAAATAACCGATAGATTGTCCACTACTTCTCTGGGCAAAACTTCACTGTGTTAGAAATGTATGGCCTTCTCATTACATGTTATTCATTCACACTTCATATCACAAGCGTTTACCTGTCAAAATTGACAGACTTAGTTTCTGAGTTTACCTGTATGCTTGTTCAATTCGAGGTTAGTCAACTTATATGATGTGATTTCATGGCTCTTAACGACTCCAGTTATCAAAGGTCAGTGCAAATTCAATTCATTTAAAAGAAATATACTAGAAATTTACACGTGTTAGCACCACACGAGTAGGTGCAAGCATTATAAAAGAGGGAAAATATGTAGTTTTCTTATTATAAGAGTTCTGTGTTAGAATAGTTCAGAGGAGGCGTTGAATTCTACTAAGTGTAACTCTTTTCTTGTACTGTACGTAGATGCTAAAACTTAAAACCACGATCTAAAATTAACACATTTTCCAATACTGATAGAGAAAAGAGTGTTAAGGAGATTTTTTTTATTTGATGCTATCTTGTATGCAAAGAAAGACCTTCATATATAAAGACAACTAAAATTGTTTTACTTATTAAAAATTAATAATTTATTAAACTTTTTTTGTACTTTTATACATTCCAGTCAACCAAGATGATTTCCATCTACTCTACATTTGCTGGATTACTCAACTTCATGAAAAGCTTAACATTAACAAAGATATATTGTCGGATCCAGTACAAGGTCTACATAAGCCCCCATCTTTTCTCCTTACAAATATATACATGTACTCCTATTAAGGAAAAACAACAGACAATCTGTGCTACAGCATACTCTAGACATGGTCTAAATAAGATGTAGATCATATGTAACTTTTAAAAGTGTTAAGAAAACTTAAAATATTTTTTGTAAAGGTCTACATCATCCGTACATCTTTTCTACAATCTTAGCGACCATTCCTAACCCTCAGTTAAAAATGAACTTTTTGATGAAATGTACGGAGATGACGAACAGTATTCAAGCTCAAAACTCCATAAAAATACAAAATAGGAGCAGAGTAAACACAGACCTCCAAAATAGTAGAGGAGGGATCAGGTGCCATGGAAGAGTGATCATCCTCTGCTGACCGGTCACACCTGCCACATGAAGCAGTTTTCTTTTATATAAAAACCTACGACTTTTCAACTTAATACACAACCATTCCCCGGGGGAAATTAAAGTCCAGGTTTTTTTATATCATTGATAGCTACTTTTTCAATAAAAATGAAACTCATAATTTTACTTACCTTGTCAGTGGTCATTTGCAAATTCATTTCAATAAAAAAAAACATTCTGATTGTACACACAAGTACTCTGAAGCTGACATCAAAAAGATCCTTGAGTTTCTGATTGACAATATCTATGTGGTTTTCGGACACCAGGTCTTTCAACAATCTATTGGAATTCCCATGGGTACCAATAGCGCCCCGTTATTAGCAGACCTTTTTTGTATTCATATGAAGAGAGTTTGTCCCACATATATACGTAAAGGGAAGAAAACACTTGCTGTCCCCTTAAACACGATATTTTGATATATCGAAGACCTATTGTCAATTAATAATGTTTATTTCCATTCTTAAGTTGATACGATATATCGCAAGCTTCATCACAGGCATATAAAGTTTACATCTCTCAGCTGATTCGATGCGCAAGACCATGCTCTAGGTATGAACAATTTCTAAACGGAGGTAAATTATTGTCAAACAAGTTGATGGAACAAGACTTCAGCAATCTCTTTTTAATTCATCATTTCGTAACTTCAATGGTCGACAGAATATCATTGTCAGCAAATACAATTTATCACTGCGTAAGTCAAATTCTGACTGACGTTTTTCATACTTATTGTTAGTGCATTATATACCAATGAATTGACGACAGATTTTTCGGTTATTCCCCGATCATGACAAGGAGCACACGGCGTAAATGACCGGTCGGCAGGGGATGCTCACTCCGCCGTGGCACCTGGTCCCACCTCTGATGTTTTGGAGGTCTATGTTTGCTCTGTTCCTATTTTGTATTGCTTTACGGACATAAGAAGTCTAGTACTGTTCGTCTTCATGTATTTCATGGAAATCAAATAATTTAGATTATCGGATGAAATGTAATGGAATTTGGAAAAAGAATCGTCATTAGGATTATGTAGTATTGTGTATATATGTGTGATGCGGAAATAGACGTTACCTAACCACAGTTTCATTTTGATATTTTTAACATTTACTATGGGGAATGGCGATGGCTTGGTCATGTCCTGCGCATGCCTCCAAGTTAAAATATCTAATGACTGCAGTATGTATTTGTTCTCCGGTTCTTAACATGAGAGATATTATGGCAATGCTAACATTACTTCTTTAAAAAAGAAACTCGAAGACCAGTTTCCTTTGTTATAATTTTATGATGTTGTCATTACGTTGGTATTTTCAAAGGATTCGGAAAGCAGCTCAGGATATTCATATAAAATATTTGCCAAATACTTCACATATCAAAGTCTCAATTTGGGCAGAAAAGACGTTGATGGTGCAAAAATATGATGAACATTGTAAATTGCCTGTATTAGGTCAACTAAGCATCTCTTTATAGGAAATAATGATCGTATCATATATGCCTTCCTGGAAGAAATAACTAATCTGCTTTTTGTGTTGTGTCGAGAAATGACAGGACCTTTAGAGGTATTTTGATAGTGTTTGACCATTTGTAAGGTAACACGAGTGACAGTTACAGGATAGACATATTTGATATATATCCCCTCCTACAGAGTTTAACAGACTGTTTATGTGTCATCTAGAAGTGGATCCATTTGTAAGTAATTTAAGTCATATATATTTGTTCTGGCTAATTGAAAAAAATAGAGAGTTTTTCATTCTTATGAAGGTAACAGATAGGACATATTTTATATTACACTTCCAATCAATTAAACTCGTCGACTCTGCATCCTTTTCTTATTCACTTGGAAACAAGAAATTGTCAAAAAAAGAACATTAAAAGTGAGACATTGAAGGATAAAGAATATTTTCAGTGCAAGGGAAGCAACTTTTTTTTTCAACATTATTTTCTTTAATGTAAAGGAAAACATGAAGAATTTAATTCTTGATTGTTTTATGAAAAAAGAGGTATTTACTTTGGGTCAGAAATGAAACATTACTTTTAGATCAGTCAATACGTGTGTTTAATACTATTGACCAGTATTTGTACAGATCTTTAACGGATATTTTTTTTCCATTATTCAAGTGAGGATTTAATAAAGTATGGAGATAAGGAACGATATAAAAATCAGGAGCAGAGCAAACATGGACCTCTAAATCATCAGAATAGGGATCAGGTGCCATGATGGTGTGAGCATCCCTTGCCGATCGTTGAAACCCTTGGTGTACTACTTGACATAAACGAAAAACTACGTAATTCTTAAGACAAATAAGTGTTAAATTAATAGGTAGCTTATTGTTGTTGTGTTCTTTAAATCAGCCATCTTTTGACATATTGGTAAACTGTATTGCTGACAAGGTGACTGAACCGAGCAAAGACATTACCAATGGTTTACTTTCATTTAAGGAGTGTGCTGATATTTTTGTTATATCAACTTGTTTGTCAATAAAATATCTGACAGTATGACATGACATATTATAAATTAGTATACATAAAATCTTTCAAATAAGGGTTTCATTTTTTTTAGATATCCACGTGGCCAAAGAATGCCCTAAGAAAATCTCGTTCTTTGATCATATTTGAATCAGTTTTTTAAAATTACCTTGGGATACCTTAGCAGCTTATTTTCCTGTGTCAGGAAACTAGGCATAATGACCCGCTATACAAACAATGTGTAAACCTAAAACTACCATGCAAGAAAAGGTATGTATTTTTGCGCTCCCTTTTACACTTCTAGCATGGTAAATCACAGCACTAAAATGACGAAAATAAAAATCAAATTTTATTTTTTGAAATCAAAGGGTTTTTCAAAATAAACGAATGCGAGTTTTTTTTTCAAACGGAATTTATGTAAACAGTGAATTGTAAGCCTCTTCGTGACGTTATAAAATAAAAAAAAAATGAGTGAAATATTGAGATAAGGAACAGCATTGAAATTCAAACGTCCACTCAAACAATACACAGCGTAGAGAAAACATAGACCTTTAAAACATCAGAGATGAGATCAGGTGGCATGGAGGAGTAAGCATATCCTTTTACCGGCCACTGCTGCCATGCGCTTCTTAACATGAACCTGAAAGATCCGTGATGGTCTTTTGTTAGTAAAAATATCACATATGTGAACCAAATGTATCAGGTCCGGGCTATATTCTCTATCCCAAGCTCGCTGAAAAATACGAAGTCGACATATGCATATTAATGGAATTAACTATTGTTAATGTATAAACCTTGTGTTGAAAGCCATAAACGGTGGTTTCTTCGTGTGTTCGAATCAAATCTACTTCATAATGAAAAAAAAAAATAATTAGCCTGCTAAATAATGGGACGAATTTACAAATGGGGTTCCGAAAGATTCCACGCAAACTTCACTGTAAGAAATGTGTTTAGAATTCAAACACTTTTCAAAACACTTTTTTGTCACCTTTTTTTTTATACGTTTAATTTGTAAACATGTTTAGTTTCTAAACACGTATGAGAAAGTGTTTAGAATGGAAGCACATAAGTGTTTAGATTCTAAACACTTTCTTGTACATGTTTAGAAATTTTACATATTTAGGAATTAAGCATATAAAAAAGAAGGTGACAAAAAAGTGCTTAGGAAAGTGTTTGAATTTTAAACACGTTTCTTAATTATGTGCTTAGAAATTAAACATATCTAGATTTAACATGTCAAAACAAGTATAACTGCAGAAAAATGTAAACAAATTTTGGCACAAAGAGTACTTAATACACATAATGTCAAAATTTTCAAAATATTAACCGATATAAATATATAAATTATTCATCTTAAGGCCTCTGATTGTTTAGATATGTAGAGAGATACTTTACAATTGTGTGATGTTCTTTTCACACAAATTTAATATTTTGATCTCTATAAGTTCAATCAGCATGGCATACATTATATTTATAACGCATGGATGAGCAACAAAAATAAAATAAGCTAGAAATTTTATATCAAAACTTCCTTTAATCTTTTTAATAATGCATTATTAAAGATATTTCAATTAAAATTGTAAAATATTTATTTTATATAATATTTTGCATATGATTAATTACAATAATTGTTCTCCCTAAACTACAAGTAAATTCATTTGGCTATTAAAAGCTTTTTTTAGTTCTTGTTTGTTCGATAAGAATGTTTTTCTTTACAAAACAATTTACTAATTGACGAAAACAAGGTAAGTGAATTTTCGAGCTCAATTTTTATTTTATCTGTGGAAGCGTTGTGTCATACAATTAGCTTTTAAAAAAAGTTTTTGAAATTCTCCATCTTAATGAACAAGGTTTCTATTTCACTGAGACGACTAGTGTCAACCACAGATCCAGTGTTTCTTCCTTATTGTCTCTTCATAAATGTACATGTCGTTAGAAATGACACGATGATCGGCCTAATATTTGCAACAGAAAAGTGACGATTTCCTTTCGTAATGGAAATTTAGAAATACAAACACTGCATTTTCATATGTAAACCAGTTATTAGTATTTAATCAAGACTTCTAAATTATTTACCATATATTTTCATTAGTTATCGTATTTTGACATTTTTCATACATTACTTATTGAATAAAGAGGCCCTCAAATGTACATCCTCTTTCCTAAGAAAATAGATCATTATTACAATTAAGTTAATGATTTAGAGAAATTATTCATTTTTTTTTTTTTAATAAAAAAGAATGTTGCAGTAATCCTCGTTGAATAGATTTTTCCCTTTCGATTTTTAATGTTGCTTGATAGATATTTATTACTAATTTCTAAAAGCTAATGCATATGATGAACCGAAAGTAAAATATCCGGAATATGCTTTTCCGGTTGCACTAAATGCTGTCGTTAACAATTAAAATTTCAGATTGAAAAAAGTTGGTTGTCAAATGCAGCCGTTGAATTGCATATTATTGAACTATATGACTTAAACAGTGAAGAAAAGCAATGTAACAATTAACTGGAGAAGGACTAGTGACCAACTGAACATGGCAAATGTAAGTATTTTGTAATAAAAAAAATTCATGAAATTATAGCATGTAGTTTGTTAAACGATTGCACTTTTATAAGACGCAAATACACGTAGAAGTTTATTAAAACATATTACAGCATTTTTAAATGTAAAAAAAGGTGTATTTTTTTTCAATGGAATTGTAATTCAGAAATTTCTCCAGGTGTATGTAAATAAACATCGGAATTTAGGTCACATTATAAACATCTCAAAGCCAATATATCTTACTAAGAGTTATCATTCCTGAATTTTTTTTCTTCTTTATTTAACATGCATATGGCAAATTATCACTGAATCATGTGATATACAAATACATGTACTTGAAAATACTTGTCAGTATGTTAAAATGGGAAAAAAATATTTAAAAATTAGAATGTATGTAAGAGTTTTTAAATGCTTTGAAATAATTAACAGATTTTTCTATAAAACGAGCATTACATGATATTACAAATATTTTAGAAACATACATATTCATTGGAAGGAAGCAATCTATGTTTGGTGAACGGACAACTTCAGGAGAGCTAACAAACTAGTACAACATAAAGTGTTGGTGAATACTATAAAAATGATTGTGGAATTAAAGATATTTTTTTACCGAATAGAACTGAATGTTAATAAGTTAAAATTCTAATAATCTACGTATTTCACTTCTTTGTGAAAAGATATGAATTCATACACAAAGAATGACTTTTATACTTCTCAAAATTCCGACAGAAAAAAAATTAGATGACATAAATTATCATTTGCTTATGAAGATTGCAATTGAATTTGGAATATCGATATAATTGAAAACCTGAAGGATCAGGGTAAATATTATTTTACAAAATTAGAATAAAATTGAACAAAAATAAAAATACATAAAAATCGCTAAATACCACAGGAAGCAAATACCTCTTGACGGATTATTCCGTAATTTTCCAATCATGACAAGGAGCACACGGCAGATATGACCGTTTGGCAGGGTATGCTCACTCCTCCATGGCATCTGATCCCACCTCTGATGTTTTGGAGGTCCATGTTTGCTCTGCTCCTGTTTTGTATTGTTCAATGGTCTTTTGATCTTGAATACAGTTTGTTTTCTTCATGTTTTTTTTTTATCTAACTATTCCACAAAAATTTGGGAGAAATGACAATGTATCTAATACTGCTCCGTGTCTAAGGAAGATATTCTTCAAAATCATATGTGAGTTTTGAATATTCTTAATATCCAAAACAATCAATATGCATTTGAATTGCCATATCTATATTGGATTTCGAAACGTTATAAAAATCATTACAAACAAAAATACATAGTGGGTCCCAGTAAATGTTCAACCAAGCCTACTTCTTTACTCCTCACTGAGATATTAATTAACTGTAGTGATGAGCAACTTCAAGAGAGCTGTGCAACAATTTTATTCGAGAAGTGGTGAAAATCAGATGTTGATATTTAAACATTTCAACGAACTTTTGGACAATTTTAAATCACAGATTTCACCAAAATCAACAGCATAAAAACTCATGATTCTTCAAGTTTATACACAAACATTCCCCACGGTAAATTAAAATCCAGGGGCCCGTTTTACAAAAGGACTTACGACTTAAGACCAAATTTAATTCTTCATATAACTTTTAATTAACTGTATATCGAACATTATTTTTATTTTTTTAAAAGGAATGTGGTAAGATATTTTTACACAAACAATATGAAAGAGAATTATTAATTTTGCACAATTTTACAACAATCTGAAGTTTTTGGTTTTAGTCGTAAGTTCTTTTGTAAAACGGGCCCCTGGCAGTCTTTTTGAAATCATTAACAACTGACTTTTCAATAAAAATGGACCTCGTGAATTGACTAACCTTGTTATTGGTCATTTGCAAAATTGTTTTGTTAAAAAACATTCTGATTGTACACGCACGTACTCTGATGTTGACATCAAAAGAAGTTGAGTTTCTGATTGATAATATCTAAGTGGTTTTTGAAGACAAGATTTTCAAACAATATATTGGAATTCCCATGGGTACCAATTGCTCCCCGTTTAAAGCAGACATCATATTGAATTTAAATCGAAAATCTTGTACTTGAAAAGAGGAAACACTTGTCGTGGCCTTCAACTCGACATTTAGATATATCTGCGTCGTAATGTCTGAAAACAATGATTATTTCCATACTTATTTGGATACAACAATATATCCCAGTGAACTTGGATATTTTACTTGAAAAAGAAGTCAATGGTTATTTTACAACAAAGCTCTATGATAAACGTGATGACATTATTTTTTCAATCGTCAATTCCCCTTACATATGCAGCACTATACTTTCATCCCCTGCATGTAAGTTAATATCATATGTACAATTTCTAAAACGAAGTAAATTATACACAAACAAGTTGATGAAACAAGAATATCAGCCGTCTCTTTAAAGTCATCATTTCGTAAGTTTTTTGGTCGATACGATGACCTTGTCAGCAAATAGAATTTATCATTGAGTCAAATGCTGACTTGCGTTTTTCATGCTAATAGTTAGTCCATTATTTACACACTGAATTATAACTGACTTTTCCCTTATTTCCCTAACATGACAAGGATCACCCAGCGTGGGTGACCGGTTGTCACGGGATGCCCACTACTCCATGGCACCTGATCCCACCTCTGATATTTTGGAGGTCTTTGTTTGCGTTGCTCCTATTTTGTATTGTTTAATGGACATTTGAGCTTGAATTCTGTTTGTTTTCTCCATAAAATTCAATTCAACTATTCCGCACAAATTTGGGAGAAATGACATTGTATCTCTAATTCATTTTTTAAGGAAGATAATCAACATGGATCTCCAATTAACAGAGGTACGACAGGTTCATCACGAAACCTTGGATTCCTACAAAGACCACCCTCCATTCACTCCATTAGATCCATGAAACAGATAGATTTTTCTTTGAGCGTCCCTTTAAGCCCTGAAGGAACTATAAGTGAAGAACATAGTTCTGATCTTAAAGGAAATCTAGATCATGACAAGGACTTTACAGATTGCCCTTCTTTTACGGTGGGAAAGAAAGAAAGTCTGTCTGATGAATTTGAAGAAAAAGACAAAGAAAAATCACCTCCCGGAGCTATCGCAGAAATAGAAAATGAAACATTCAAGGAAAAAGAAGCCGAAGAAGACCCTTTGCTACTGAGTAGTTCAGAAGATGTTGCAGAACACGGTGGCTGTATAGAATGTGCACAAGCTGTCCCTGTTCTGTCAGTTGACGAAATAGAAGAGGGAGATCATATAGTTTTTGCAGGAGCGGTATATGATCACCATGGTATCGTTGTCTCCAAATGCAAAGACAATATACTTGGAATAGTAGAAGCTACTAATTCGATTTCAGGTGCAACAGTAGGTATTGTGTTTGGAGGAAAAGCAAGAATTCAATACTCAAAGAAAGCCTTCGACTTCATGACCGATAATATTCGTGTTGTCTTTTACAGACGTCCAAAATTTTCTAAAGAGAAAATCGTCGCGAATGCCTTGGCATTCGCAAGCAGTGAATCTTGTGGAAGCAAGTTTAAGTATCACTTACTGGTGAATAATTGTGAGCATTTTGCAACCTTTTGTGTAACTGGTAAACGGTTCAGTATTCAGGTCAGGAAATTTGTTATGATAGCAAAACTTTTTCTTTTCCGGGGATTTCATGGAATAAGTGATGAAAACCTCCGAAATGAAAAGGAATACGAAAACAAGATTATATGCGAAGAATGTTATATGGTAAATAAAAAACTACACAGTGCAAACGTAACCAATGTTACGAACAAAAATGACGTAAACATTGGTGATGTCATCAGATACTCTTACTGGAATCTCTGGCATGATGCAGTCGTTCTTCGCATTATTCGGAGTGAGGAAAATTATATTCTTTGTGAAATCGCTCATTATGGTTTCCACGGCCCCTTCTCACACAGAGAAATTATCCGAGAAATATTGAAAATATACTTCAATGGAAAAGTCAGTGTTGTTCATTATGACCCGTTAGAATATGACTTATTTAGTCCTAAAGAGGTGGTTGAGCGAGCTAAGAAGCGCTTGGGGGAGAATTGTTCGTTTTTTTCTCGAATGACTCAAGTCATTTTGCTCGATGGTGTAAACTTAAACTTACCAAAGGAACATTAGGAGAAAGTGAAGTATAAAATAAATATTTTAATTTTCTTGGAATGCATTTGATAAATAAAATAAATACAAGTCACATTTATCTAAAAAAAAAATAATAATAATATCCAATTACAAATACTGAAGAATCTTTTAAAGTATGTTTTCATCTAACTCTCTTATATTTTTTCAACTTGAAATAAAGGAATCCTTCGCAACATAAGTTTCATAACTTGAATGTTTCATTTTCGAAAATTGGATATCAAATAACAACTTATATATGTATGACAATCGAAATGAATCAGCCTTTCTACTGTCAATTTTCATGTTTTATCCCTTTGCAACGCAGTTGGAGGGAATATAGCAATGCAAACGTATTTTCGTTTGTGCGTGAGTATATTCTGTGCGAATCAAAAATGACGTAATTTGAAGCGAAGTCGATGTCAAATGTTCCCTTATTTGTAAATATGTTTTTGCGAGGGGATGCTCCGCCTTGCGGTGCCCTTGTATATGCTGTTAAATTCTGCTATCATCGCACATTTATTTATATCTCCCACTTTATTCTCCACTCAGGATTTTGCATGAGTACGAAAAAAGAGAGGCTGGCTTCTCATTGATAAGCTGATGTTACTGTAATTTTAGCATTTAAATCACAAACATGTATTTGTCATTAAAACAAATTGTATTAAAATGATACCATGGTATCGAAAAATGTTTTGTTTTGTAAAAAAAAATATTATTTTGTTAACAAATGCTGACTCCTTTACATGCAATCATGTATTCTTGTTGCGCAATTCTGTTCACATTAGATTTTATGTTCGTTTCTGCGACAGTTTATATAACTTACTACTTTATATGTTTTCATATGTTTTGCATTGTAAAGAAAACATTATTTGTTATAACATTATTTTTTTTTACTTTATTTGTCGTTTATTTATCAATAAATGATGATTTATTTCCACACCTTGTGTTTTCGTATGGGTCATACAAAGCAAATTTCTAGTGTGTATCCATAAAAATCCAGAAAAATAAGCTTCATACCAATACATCTAAATATTTATGAAACTGGCGGATTAGATTTAAATTGTATAAAGGTTTCAATATAATGTATGGTTTTCATATTCAACACGTGTATTTCTTGTCAAAAGACGAACTCTTAAATATCAGCAAATTCAACCTTAACTTTGGACTTTGTAGTACGTCTGAAACAAACTATGTATTTATTTTTGAATTTTTTTTTCGTTCTAGTGTTTTTATGTTCACAGATGTATTTAACTGTGAAAATATCTTTCCGTCGGTAAAATGTAGATAAGAAAACCTAATTATGCACCCGTTATGGAAAATACGAGTGTACAAAATTTACAAAATTTTATCCTTGGCCATAACTTTTGAACAGTTGGTGCTAAGGGTTTCATATATGCTTCACATGTATATTACTTGTTAAAAAACTTTTCTTTGGGTACAAATATATATTAAATTTTCGGGTGAGGGTAAATAAACATTAATTTTGAAATGGTCTAAGCGTATTATTTTTGAAGCTCACTCCTCCATTGGACCTGATCTCACCTCTGATGTTTTGGAGATCTGTATGCGTATGATTCGCTTTATTTCAATGAATTTGTGTTGAGATTGAACACTGTTTGATTCCTCCAATAACATAAATCAACCTTTTCATTATGATGATAGAAATTAAACAGAAGACCTCCAGGTAGTGTTTTTCTCCAGACTTGAAGGAAAGAAATCCTTCATTGTAAAAAAGCAGTTCACATTCTTGACCTTATATAAAATGTTATATGTCATCAGGAAAGGAACAGGTAAAAAGAATCAGAGTGACTCGCAGTAATATTGTCCGACTGTCACTGTCCAGTGTAAAGCAGAAGTCTACTCTTGTATATGTGTGGAATAACATGTTCCATTAATCCTACCGGTGTTTCTTTAAAAAAAAGTTTGTTGTGCGTAAATTTGTAATATTACACCCTCGGGTTACAAACCTCTGGAAGAAAAGTGGATTTATCTTATACTATAAAAGGTAATGATTTTATACCTTAATTGTGGTATCGGAGCATTTTTTTCTCTCGAATATTTAAACTGATAGTATTTCATCGTATTCCTAGAATTTATCATACGAACATTTTCTTAAAGGTTCATCGAGAAAAAATAAAAGTAGCAATAGAAAAAATACGCATTTATTCATAATTGTGAATTGAAATCTAATTTCCAACATAACTATTTTCATAATCTGGATGAATGGATCCGAAATCGAAAATTCAAAAAGGTTTTTTTACCGTTGAAGATACATGTATAATATCAGTGAGAAATGAACTTTAAAGTCTTAATGACGGTTTTAATTTTTTTTTAGTTGTGTGCTTTACTGCTTCTTTTTCATATAAAAGGAGGAAAAAAAACATTTATTCGGATTGACATTTCTGTAACATTCCGTAACATTAAATTATTATGCAATGGTAAAAGAATATTTATAATTTTACAAAATATTAACCTGCCAATTATGTATATGTGATGAATATAAAGAACACAAGAAATTCCCAACTGGCATTTGTTTTGCTTAAATCTTTAATATGAATATCAAGTATTACATATAGAAATAACGAACAGTATTCAAGCTCAAAAGTCCATAAACATTACAAAATAGGAGCAGAGCAAACACGGACCTCCAAAATATCAGAGATAGTATAAAGTATTGTTTATTTATTTCATATACTATTGTGGATTTCAGTGGTAGATATGTGAATTGTAGACCCTTTGTAACGTTAATAGTGAGCTGTCATTTTATCTTTTGATGGTGTCAGAAGTATCATATCGTAAACCTGTATGTCCATTCCTCGGTCACTTTAGTGGCTGGCCCCTGTCAATCAACACTCAAGTTCGACCGCGTCATAGACTAGTGTATACATATAAGACAAATGGTATTTTTGAGAAGCATTGAATATGACATACACATGTATTTGCAATGAATACTATTGATTTTTCAGCAAACAAAGTGTTTCAGATTTAAATACAATTCTGTAAAAATGCCAAGACACGAAATAACTTAAAATTCCCTTTGATCTTAAAAAAGGCGTTATCAAGGTTTCCTTCGATTCATTTTCCCTTTTTCATAAAGAAATACATAAATATTCCCCCTGACATATACACACTTTATCTTGTTCATACACTATTTCGAATTATGTTCCGATTTTTTATGTGTTAGCTGATGTTTAAACAATGGAATAAAGATCTACTTTTTTCCAGAAAATATGCATTCATTGAAACCAACACGTTTGATGAACTTGCATTTCTGTTTTTTACCCCCCCCCCCCCAAGCTTCAAATATTTGTTTAGCTTATAGATATTTTATAGTACAAGGTCAAAGATGACTGACAAGTCAGACATTATGTTTGATCGTAAAATGTAACTCTTTTAAATACATTTTCGTAGAAGATCAAATTTTGAATATGCTAATGTATGAAAAATCACGAGGCAAGGACAAGGTTTTTAGGCGAAGGGTTAATATTTATACAGAATAATTACTAGTATGCGTAAGCATTCTAGGAAAATATGAATGGTTTTCGTTATATCAGTTTACTTTAAAGTAAGCTGAAAATGCAAATTATCATTCCTTTCTTTCATGTTTTTTATTCACACACTGCATTGTCGACGGTTTTTTCGTTATTTCCTGATCATGACAAGGAGCACACGGCGGGTGTGACAGGTAGGGGGATGCTTACTCCTCCACTGCACCTGATCCCATCTCTGAAGTTTCGAGATCTGCGTTTGCTCTGCTCCAACCCTTGCATTGTTCAATGAACTAGATACTGTTCGTTACATGTATATCCATATATTTAATTTCACATATCATTTCTTAACCATTCTTTTTAAATACAATAATTGCAATTTATAATTTTTTATAGAAAGTATTGTGTATACAGATATCCTAGGATATGGGAAAAAATACTTGAACTATGTATCCAACCCTTTAATTAAGAACAGCCCACGTTTTAATATTTTTAAAATTATTTTGTCATAGTTTATTTACCAGAATGAATGTTAATGTTATACAAATCGTTATATAGGTCATTCCACCAGGTGTTCTCAGGTTGAAATAAACATGGAAAATGACTTAAATGAAAGAGTAAGATTTATACGCAATTATCTTAAGAATGTTGCGGTACAGTTTTTACAAAAAGGTTATTGCTACGAGTTAATGTAATTAAACTCTGGCATAACAATTTTTTATCCATAAACAGGGGCGGATACAGGATTTGTGGTTAGGGGGGGCGTGGATAAATTTGTTGAGGCAAGGGGTCTGGGGGACGCCTTAAGGCTCCTGGGTTTTCGTGTATTTTAGAGTAAAACCAGGCACAATAATAGTGCATATTTTCAATTATTTTTGTTAAAAGTACATAGCATATAGGTGGGGACCCAGGGGGCGAAGCCCCCGGAAGCTCTTGGGTTTTCGTGTATTTTAGAGTAAAACCAGGCACAATAATAGTGCATATTTTTCAATTATTTTTGTTAAAAGTATATAGCATATAGGTCCGGATGTTTGAATAATAAATGTATTGAATGTTTCTCAATTCTCATTGTATTGTAACACATGCCACTATATAATTAACGATTTAATTACTTATTACTTACTAATAGTGGTATTGGTTATAGTGATGTACCAAAGTATGACGTGTTTAATCTAGTCATGTCATACTTTGAATGGTGGGGGCCCAGGGGGCGCAGCCCCCGGAAGCTCCTGGATTTTTGAAAATTTTAGGGGGGGGCGTGCGCCCCCCACGTCCCCCCTTAAATCCGCCAGTGATAAATTAAATTTTTTTAAGTTTCCCTCCATAGAAATGGCGTAAAATTCGTATAAGTAAATAAACTTGTGTATATTACAGATTAACAACTAAGTAATCCCCAGTGCTTTTTTTCAGTAGTAGTAAAGTTTATTTTTATCGGTCAAGACTTTTATTACCATAATCCTACTTTTTAAAAAGAAGTTTACCTTGACATCCTCAAAAATTGTAAGTGAAAGACGCGAATCTTTCGGATATGCCCTTAAAACGAAGGTCTCCTGTCACAGTATGCGCTAGCATGAAAAAGAACCCTCGCTGCTCAATGGCCCTCAGTGCCGAGTACAAGTCTAATTTTAAGGTATGTCACTAGTGAAATTTGTTAAATCAAGGATTTTTTGAGAAGTATATATTTTATATAAGTACTCATATAGTGTAACTCAAATCGCAGGGAAAATAAGGGGTCAGTGTGCATCTTACTGATCTACGGTACAATTAAGTTGACCTTTTTGCACTTAAATTTAAAATCTTTTGTTAATTACTTTAACCTTTATCATATTTTATCAGATGTAACCATGGCAATAAATATAATTTTATTTTACGCAAAATAGTTTGACTAATATTTATCATTGAAAAAATCTTGCAAATTAATGCGAGTTAATTATTGTGTGACCTTTTTGCACTAAAAAGTAACATATTTGGGGCATTAAAAAACTAAATAGGCAATAAAACATTTTCTTAAATCAAGCTTTTTACGACTTAAGTGCTGATCAGTCACAAGTATCGAGTACTTTAAAATAATGAAAGAAAAAGTTGGGATCAGTGATGTTAATTTTGAAATATTGGTCAAAATATGTGATTTTCAGGCGAAAAATGATGTAAATTTTATCTTGACTTTTTTGACATATCTTTATTTTTTGGCAAAGTTTGTTCAAGGAAGATGTAAAACTTGTTCTAAATATATAAGATATGACCTATATTAAATATTCCTAGCAATATCATAACGGAAATAATTCTCCGAGTAAAAGTATGTGAGGCTAAATTCCAGGATATTAAACTTAATAAATGTGCAGATTTGCAGAATTATCTGCTTAATATCCTTCCACCACAAGAAATAGTCCCTCATAAATCTTGTTTCTTTATAGCTTTTTGAGCAGTTTTTTCGTTGAATATTAAAACATATACATTGTTAAATTAAAATATGTTATAAAAATTGAATTTTAATGAATAGTTTTGAAGCGAGAGGTTCTGCGTGAACTTTTCTAAAAAGCTGACGAGTTACATATCTTAAGGCCCTTTGAACACCGGTATACGATGATTAAAAATTAGAGGAGTAAAAATTCTCGAATGGGACGTTAAACAATATGCAATCAATCATTTTTTTCAGTTAAATTTTATCCTCTAAACTTTGATTAAAATTATTTATTCAACAAAAGCAAAACCTAATTGAGTGCGTTTGTTATATAATCATTTTAACAAATAGAAGTAGGTATCTGAACATTGATTTATTTTGCTGATTCAATTAATTAATATTAGATGGGAAACAGTTCAAAAATACCCGAGGGTGGGTATTCCTTTATCAGAATGGTCTTTTACAATATATTTATTTCGATAATGCATTTTCATTATAAAGAACACCCTTTTTGTTGCAATATGCTAAAACCAGCCCCATTTGTTATTTTATGAACTTTTTAATGCTGAAAAACCCTTCCTGAAAACGAAAGGACCCCCCTTGGGTTTAAGTGAATTAGACTATTGCCACTATTGTGCCATATTTCCATCCCAATATATACATAATATTTTTTTTTAATGCAACATTAGCATGAAGACAAGCAGAAACTTTTCTATTTTAACATGCAAAATAAGCATATTTACAGGCAAGGTATGATCTCTTCATAGAATCTAATTTTAATGTTGTTAATCTTAGTAATGTCAGTATTTGACATCATACAAGCAAGATGCAACATGGTTTTGTTGACATACAACGTACTTATGTCAACATGCAAAATAATTTTGTACGCATGCAACATATTATATATCACAAAGCAAGACAATTATGTTAACATGCATATAAATACTGTGAGAAGGTTATGTGTTTTTATCACTTTTATTTCATGCAAATTTATAGATAAATCTTTTGAAGAAAATGTTACCGAATGATTTTGACATTCAAACATATTTGAATAACAAGTTGTGAATCACAAACATAATTATTGATTAAAATTGCAAATGAAAAACATGATCACAACATTCCGTGATCTAACACAAAAAAACTTACTCGATAAAAATCTGTGAATTCGACATAACACACGGTTCCATGAAAATTCCAGAGGTGGAATAGATGCCTAGGAAGAGTAAGCATCCCTTATTTATTCCCTGTTGACCTGTCATCAGCGCCGTAAGCCCTATGTAAATGGTCAGGAGGAGGGAGCACTCTGAATTCGAATTTAGTATAAACAAAAACCTAAGAATTTGTATAAAAAAACGTCATTCACATCTACTGAACAATAAAAGGTAAATTCTTAATAAAATCATTATAATGACTACAGACTTTACTAAATTCTGACTTATAGGAGAAAGCTGTTAAAATCCTTGTGACGGCAACTTATCTGTCAGTATTAATGTATATACTGTGATTTCATCAATATTCTTTGAGCACCAATTTTCAAGGAATTCGTTGTTGAGCAGATCCACGAAATTAAATTTTCATTGAATTGAGAAATATGTTTTTCATTTGTGTAGACTATGCTTTTACAAAATTACGTATCCTCGAAAATGTCAGTTTTACAAAATCCACGAAAATTGATGAATCTACAGTAGTAGATAAAATGCAGTATTTCATTGCAAAGCTAATACAAATTAATGACAGGATGAATGTGAGGAATATTCAGACAATTTATCAATGTTACAAAATAATCCCGCAATGGCCGTTTATTTGCATGAACTATGAAGATAATAAAAAGGAACATATCGTACATTACATGTATATATCAGGAGTCGAAAGACTAAAAGCATAGATATAATTTGATAAATCGAATACCTACCATCGATTACAATAAATAAATACTACATATATGTCGGCGTTAGATTTATTATTTCCTCAATTTATTTATTTGTTTACACAATGAATGATATAATATAGACATTTATTATAGTCGTCACAAGGGTTTTAAATCGTCTAAAACTGATATTTAAAAAATGATAATACGTTATGTCATACCCTGGCATATGTCTTTAACCTATGCCAATCATGAAACATAACAATGTTATAATTGTTAAATAAAGACAATTATTATTACATATTTATCAAAAAGAATTATTGTTATGATTATGCTAAATGTTTCCTACTCGACTTATTCTTAATGGTGTCACGGCTATCATAAACCAAACGTTGTGGTTTTTACATGTATATAAATACACAAACAACAACAATGTGCTATAAGATCACAATTCTTAACCTTTCCTTTTTACAGTTTCTAACCAGTTCCTTATTCAATGCAGGATTGAATGAACGTTTTCAGAATGAACTCATACTTTGTGGTTGTGCTGTTGTGTTTGTGCTATTCATCTCTAGTAACTGCCGAAACCAATGACAGAAATGGAATCAAAATCCCACACTGGACAGAAGGTTAGACATCTACAACTAAAGAAAACGTGAATTTTCCGCTATTTTCTTGTAAAGGGTTGGTTAAAAAGTCATTATCTTTTGCATTTATATACATGCATGTTTTTAAGTAAAATTTTGTATAATATTCAAATATAAATACTGAAAGGAAAAAGAAACGCAGGGTAGCATAATGTTCGAAAAAATTTTGACCACATGACCGAAAATTACGAAAATTGGTCAGAAGATAAATTTAGTTACTGTGCACCAAAATCAGTATTCAGAATTACTCAACCGTGAAATTTATGACGTCACGTAGGGAAAACGCTTGCAAATTGATAACGACAAGTTTGTCAACAAATCTTGTTGCATTATTTGATGCATATGAGGTATGCACATGGCTTTTCAATATTAAGAGACATTATGAATTTCTTGCGATCTTGGCACAGTTTACGGAAGCTCAATAGAAAATTGCCTAAAGGTTTACTAAGCAGTTTCTTGTAAATTTTTCCCTATAAAACTTGTTACCCGTTGTCAGAGAGGGTCTGGAATGGTTTTCAATCAACCGTGACGATAACATTAACGCGAAACAGAGGCATGTTACGAGCGAGTTATTCGTCCTGCCATCTCTTAAATCGCCACCTTACTACCACAAAAACAGCCATTTATACAGTAAACGATTATAATCATTACATTCATAAGAAATTTGAAAGAAAACAATTCCGCAATTTGGTTTTTTGAGCCAGTCAACTTACTGTTGTATTCCTCTCACTGGCGCATGCGCGGGCCGTTTGGCTTATTTTTTTGCGTTGTTACTCATGCCAAAATTAGCCATGGTTTGAAAGATAAACACTCTCTGGAAATTCCATGCAAAGGAGAAATAAGGCTCTGATAGATGCTCGGGAGAGGCATTGAAGATAATGAGAGATTTCGATTTTCACTTTTGGGGGGTATCGTCATTTGAGCTTCAATATAACTCCTGAATTATCAGACAAAATCAAATGGGAATTTGGTTATATCTTTTTGAAAGATGGTTTTAAATGTTAGGTAGAAAAACTAAAACATATTTTAAGAAAAACAAATTTAATTCACCTCAAAAGTTTACTCTGCGTTTCTTTTTCCTTTCAGTATATTATAAATAGAAAGATTAAAAAGTAAACTGAGAAATAAAGTTGATTGAAACATGATCAGATCTATTGATCTAGTGCCTTCGTTTTTCCCTATATATTTTCTAAATTATCTGAGACTAATATTATGCAGTCAATCGAATAAGATGAGATAATATTTACAAACATCAAGTAAATTTACAAGAAACATTAGCTGTGATGATCTTTTTTCCGATAACAAAGTAATATTATATAAAATACAATGATCATACAGAGTAGACAAGTAACAGAATTTAAAATATTACACTACTGAAAGGTGCATGGACACTGATTGGAAGTTAATATTTTCTGTATATTATAATATTACGACTTATATATTTCAATACCATTTCACACAGAAATAATTAAAAATCTTATTTTATCTAAAAGTTATTAAAACTTCAAATTTTTTGGGTGGGTTTGATTGACACATTCTTGCACTCTCACAAATTTTACTTTTATTCTTAATACTTAGGAAAAGTGGCGATCTTGTTGTGTATTGATGAAAAATATTAAACTTTAATCCAGAAAAATAATTGTATTCAGAGTAAAAATGTTAGAAAGCAAAACTCCTTCAGAAGTTTCGTCATTCCGAGCTAAGTATTGTGTACAGAGTTTAGCAAATTGATCGCACCCGTGAAACATACACAGTTTTTTGTAAACAGGACACGAGCTCTGTTATTGTTGATGTTTACGATTCACCGGGTGCGTTCAACCGTTAAAGTCCGCTCACCACAACTGCACGGACTAACAATATATTGTGTGTATGTTTTGCATTCGAACTTTTCTACTCTGAATTTTCTAGATTATGGTTTTAACATTTTTCATATATACACAACAAGATCGCCACTTTTCCTAAGTATTAAGAATAAAATTAAAATTTGTGAAAGTGCAAGGATGTGTCAATTTAACCCGTCTAAAAATTTGAAAACTTTTAGATGAAATAAGATTTTTAATTTCTTTCTGTGTAAAATGCTATTTAAATATATAAGTCGTAATATTATACAGAAAATATTAACTTCAAATCTGTGTCCATGCACCTTGAAATATTAATCTTATTTTGTTTTTGTATCATTTTATTGCTGTGTTCGACTACTCCAATTCAAATGATAATAGGGAAAAGTTAAAATTTAAATTATAATTATATAAAGCATAGAAATATAGGCCAAAATTATGCAGTAATGTGTTTTCTGTATTTATTAGTGTGTCCATTAGCTGCACATCCAGATCCTAACCGCTTTATTCAGTACAAACCTGACAGAGAACCAGTTGAGAAGAAGTGTGACGAAGGTCTAATATTCAGTTACGAACAGTGTTCCTGTATTTGGGGCCCTCCTCCAGGTAACGTTATATGTGATCGTCTTGTACAGTCACTGTTGTTTTGAATTAATCCTGAAAATAAAATTTGAGTCAGAAGGTGCCTTTAAATGGTCTGTTAAATATTTTTTAATGGAAGAGTCACATTTTTAAGAAGTGAAATTGTATGGAATTGTCTGACAATTTTCAAAAACCTTTTTTTAAAATCATATTAAAAAAGAGTCTGATCAATTAAATACATATTTTTACTTCCAATGCAATGAATATAATTTTTTACTTCCTTAAAAACATGGTTTCATTACTAAGATTTTGAAAATATCAAGAAATCTTTAACATTAACATAAAAAAATACAAAAGAAACAGTTCTACAGATAATCAGTAATATAAATATACTTTTCATCAAATTGAACACTCTTGGTCAGGATCTTCCGAAAATAATGTTTTAAAAGTATGTGCTAATCTGCCATCTACTCATTTTTATGTACTTTTTAACTAAGGAATCCTTAATGTTTTGTATTTCTACTAAGTAAAGTCTTAATTTGATAAGCATCCTTAAAGCTTTGGCCTCCATCAATTATGTCTATTTTAGGGTGTTTTGTACAATTATCAAATCCTTTTTTACCTACTATATACTTTTCAGGTTCTGGTAAGCGGCACAGAGCTTTGGCTGACTTTAGATTTATATATATTTTTCAGATTGTGATAAGCAACCCTCATAGCTATGGTTGACGTATTATTTACTTTTTTAGGTTGTGAGATGCGGCTCTCAGAGCTATGGTTGACCTAGTATTTACTTTTATAGGTTGTGATAAGCGGCCCTCAGAGCTATGGTTGACCTATTATTTACTTTTTTACGTTGTGAGAAACGGCCTTCAGAGCTTTGGTTGACCTATTACATATTTTTTAGATTGTGATAAGCGGCCCTCAGAGCAGCTTTGGTTGACCTATTATATACTTTTCAGGTTGTTATAAACGACCCTCATGGCTTACTACCTCTTATTGACTTATTATGTACTTTTCATATTGTTATTAGCGGCCCTCGAGGCTTGGTATCATTTATTGACCTATTACATACGTTTTCAGATTGTGATAAGCGGCCTTCGCGGCTTGGTATTACTTATTATGAGCAGAACTCCAATAACTACTGGCTAACAATGGTCTGTGCCATGGGGACAGCGTTCAGCCCCTCTACTTGTGATTGCTCAGTCCATCTTAGACTTAATCATATCAACAATAATCCATTTGGGCAGCCAGTAAGTAGCGATAAAAATCGATTGATTGATCGATTGTATTTTGTTTAACGTCCCCCTCGAGAATTTTACGCTCATATGGAGACACCACCACTAGCCGGTGGAGAGCTGCAAATTTTACACTATACTTGGCGCTTAGGGCCATTGAGCAGGGAGGGATATTTTTCGTGGCAGCACATTCTGCTACACGGGACCTCGGTCTATACGGTCTTATCCGAGGGACCGGTCTCCACGTCCCACAGTGGGATTCGAGCCCGCGACGTAAGGATCAACTCCTTACTTCGCGACTCTAGATGAGACGCTCTAACCACTGCGCCACCCGGGCGACGATTAAAATCGAGACTACATAAAAATGCATTGCTAACTCGACGTAGAACTATATACAATCGATCAATCTATAAAAGTATACCTTTCTCATTTTTAAATACCATATGAAAGTATTTGCCGAATTCTGCAGATGTTTTCTTATGAGTTTTGTTGCAGTCATTGTTAATCATTCTGTTTGACATTTTCCCATTCACATATGAATTGTCTTCTAATAACTGTTGCAAAGGTGATATTGATATTGTTTTATGAATTGATTTGACCCTTTGATTTTCAAATGGTAAAAAGTAATTAAAAAACTTATAAGTCAGTTACTTTTGCAGACAACTCACAGGAACCAATGCTTTCTTCGATTCTTCAGGAAGTGTTTGCTGAAAATGATTTTTCATTTTTCTTTTGTAATGAATAAGCTAGTGCGTGTATGATATATGAGACTTTATACATTGAAATTAACAATAAAAGTTTTCTTAAGAAAGACTTTGATGAAAAACGTATTAAATGTTAAATCATGAAATTCCGACATGCGTCACACTATGTAATTGTTTTGGTTCATTCAACTTTGTTGTGAAAGACATCATTGAACGAATTTTCTCCATCATTTATACTTCTTTCACCATGCCAACAATCAGGATTTCATACTATCTAAAAGTTATCCCACTGCTGTCCATAAATATTGTTTACATCTTCTTGCTTTGATTTCCATGGTAATCTATAGTGGTAAGGTGTTTCGAAGCCCAGTTTTAAATTGATTTTCGCTCATCACAATGTATTTAAAGTTACTGGCTATTACTTCTCCTAACGTCTTGCATTAGACGTGAGAGTCTTTTCTGTTGAGACGTAAAATATGTCCTGTGTCACGATTATCATTTGTATGAAAAAAAAAACCTTCCTCCCCAGTTGCCCTAAGTGCCAAGTAAGCGTTTTTTAAAATTTGAAGCTTTTCGAAAGTATAAGTTGACATCTTTCACATCTTTAAGTGAGTTGAACATACATGTAAAACTACGTAGAATCAATCAATTATCTACAATTATATATTTTCTTCACTTGCAATTAGAATTGTTTCAATAGAAACTTCGCAAATTTGTTTTGCTAACATAAATACCAAGGTACTAGTACTTTTTGTTTGTTTTTTGCTTTTATTTTATTTATTTATTTAATTTTTTAGCTTATTTTTTTAAAATAAGAAAAAATGAAATAATGGTAATGTCACTACAGCACTAACGATGACGTAACGTTTTGTTGCTTTTTCCTTTCAGACAACAAGATAGAACAACAAGGACGCGTTCATTGGATAAATGATCAATGTTTGATTGCTAGTGAAATCATTATCATGACAGAATGCATTAAATCCAAAATTTTCATTTTGGGTGAGACTCTATGTTGGTCCTACTCTTGATTTATTACAGCAATTGATTGTATCTTTGCAAAGAATAATCTAGAGAATTTCTCCGAAATGAAATTATAGAAGTTGTATTGTATCAAAACGTTTCATGTTGTATTAATGATGTATATATTTGTAAAGCATTGTAATAAAATTAAACTTTGAAAAAAATGTATATAAACGTCAGTGCCTCTGTGTTTAAAATATATTTTACAGAAATTTAATATCTTTATTTTCTTAATGGACACTTCTGCCTGTTTGTAAAATAGAATAGGATTTTACTATATGCTTAATAAATTGTATTAGAAATGTATTTGCTTTTCTTTGAGATAATTGTATCGAAAACCTCGAAAAGAACTCGGTTTCAGTTTTATTTGTCACACTTTTTTATACAGTAAAAAAAGTCGATGAATGATTTCTTTTCATCCAATTAGGCAGTAGATTTTGCCCTATAGATTTGTTATTATTACGACTTATAGCTGAGATTCAAAACGGAGATATGATTTTTGCTATGGAAAAATAATTAAGAATCCAAAATTTATTCTGTTATTTGTTTGAAAACTCAGTTATTTTGCAGGTAACTGTATACTAAAGTTTATCGTCAATATTTTTCGGGGAAGCTTTGATATCAATTTTACTGTATTTTCTTATTGCCTGACGTCACGGCGTCAGGCACTACTAAGGATCAATATTTCCTAGGTGCGAAGCTATGAGGTCACAGTTAGCCAGCAAAATTTTTTGAGCATGCTGATTATCATCGGATTTTGTTACACGCGTTTCAGCAATAACAGTAAGCAGAAAAATACGAAAGCCCAGAAGGCTCATTCGAGATTCGAGTTTCCAAATACGAGATTCGAAATTCGAGATTCAAAATTCGAAATTCGAGATTCAAAATTCGAGTTTCGAGATTCAAGATCCAAACGAACCAATCAAAAGCGGGTTCAACATTTGATTATTTCCCTTTATTATGTTTTTACTATCAAGAAATAGTTCAATATAATTATATCAAATGGGTCATTTGATTAAATTACAATGCAAGAAAAAGTGTTATATATATTAGAGGGAAATTTAAATAATTAATGGAATTTTGATCAGCAAAAAATATTTTTATTTATATTATAGATTCTTAAATATTAAATAGATTTCATATATCAGGAGTATATATATTTTTGAATTGTCTAATAAACTTAATTTTTATGCATTTCCTGTGTTAGGAAAACCACAGGTACTTGTGAAAGGTACCACCCCCTCCCCCCTCGATATTCAACCCTAGGGCTTATTGGACATTTTTTTCACAAGTTTTATTTATTAAACTTATTCATCATGTATACAATAACAAAAAATTGTAAAATCCCCAGAATAATCGTTCAACACCCCCCACCCCCAAATACCAACTATACATTATAAGAGAAGGATATGCCACTCCAGTCTGTTTACGTTGTACCCCCACTGGTGTTAAATGCATTTATTTTGTTTTAACTTTATATGTCGATTCACACTGTCTCTACATATACAATGTATTTCCTGGGGCGGATCCAGGAATTGAAGTTAGGGGGCGCCAGATTCAGGCAGGGGGTCTGGGTGCCGCCTTGAGGCCCCCAGTGGGTCCAGGGTAAAGCCCTGGTGGGGGCCCAGGGGGCGAAGGCCCCGGAAGCTCTTGGATTCTAGAGGTTTTGTAGGGTAAAAATGAGGTCTACCGAGTAGACATTTAAAACATTTTCTCGACAAACTATGTTTTATGCTAACTTGGACAATTTTAAGGGGGCGCGCGCCGGGTGCGCGCCCCCCCCTTAAATCTGCCACTGATTTCTGTCTTAGTCCATGCTATCGGACTTCTGCATCACGTAAAATCCCACATTTCTTCCGTAAACAGCTTTCTTTCTTGTAAAGTGGGGTAATAAATAGTGTTTTTTTGTTTTGTTTTTTTTTTTGGTTGAGCGATTATTCTGGGGGTTTTATGCCAGATTGTAAGGCTACACATAACAGAGAAATAAGCCCCGGGGTTCAATCCACGGGGGGGGGTCTTGTCCACACGTACCTGTGTTTTTCTAAAAATTAAGACAAGAAACATGTATTGACGTAAGCGTCAAAAATCGGCCGCAAACCAATTAATGTTCCTTTTATGAAGCAACTAAAGACTATGGTGATCTGTTTTTGAAATATCTTATATTTATCTTTTAATATATATCCTCGTGATATTAAAAGCTTGTGCTCTACATTGCATGATTTTCTTAATTATATAATGCATGTTCAGTATTAACCCCTGGTACTCTGCGTCAACAACTTTTGAACCGTGGGCCTGTATGGCATTTACATTAAAAGTTTAAAACTAAAATTAAACATGCAGTGTAGTTTAATTTAATAAAAATGCAGCAAATATGTTGGTATCCTTGCTCTCTCTTAGAGGAAAAATCTAAACTCCCTCTAGATCCGCCACTTCATTTCTTCTCTTTGAGTTGTAGCGGGAAAATTCTTGGCACATTGTAAAACGTGCATTATCCTCGTCTGCTAAGGGCCAAATCTTGTAATATTTTGTAGCCTGCTAAGTCTTTTAATGAATTTACATTTAACCATATTTTTCAAAATGTTTATATGTGTACATATGTACACGTCATTTTAAAATAAATACGTACAACAAATCCCGTTTGAATAGAGAAAGTAAAATTGTGTAATATACATAACGCGGTCTTTGATTTAGACTACGCCCAACACATGTCTTAATTTTCTCCGCACTTCAAACATACCTAAATTTCTAAGTCAGTATTGGATGAATTATTTATCTCATTCTTCATAAGAATTTTTTTAATTTTATGTTTATTGTGCGTTTTTCTTTAACCTTAAGACCGTCTTTTTAATATACTATTATATTAATGTTAAACATTTTTTATTTAAATTGTTTTAAGAAACGCACAGCGACTTCGAACTTTCAAATCATATAACCGACCATCTCCTGGCGGCCGGTAATTTGTCATCAATACAAAAATATAATTATATACCCCTGATATATGTAATCTATTTAATATTTAAGAATCTATAATATAAATTGAAATATTCATTGCGGATCAAAAATCCATTAATTATTTGAATTTCCCTCTAATATATATAACACTTTTTCTTGCATTGTAATTTAATCAAATGACCCATTTGATATAATTATATTAAATCATTTCTTGATAGTAAAACCATAATAAAGGGAAATAATCATATGTTGAACCCGCTTTTGATTGGTTCGTTTGGATCTTGAATCTCGAAACTCGAATTTTGAATCTCGAATTTCGAATTTTGAATCTCGAATTTCGAATCTCGTATTTGGAAACTCGAATCTCGAATGAGCCTTCTGGGCTTTCGTAGAAAAATAACCATATTGCTGATACAATACATTGAAGTATTTATTTCCTTTAGCTTTTTGCTAGCAGTTATTTATTTCATGCGAGTTCTTATACGGACATGTCCGTTTGACCTTTTTTCTGCGTTACTCTACTACTGGATTAGTCCATTTGTCTTCTATATAAGGGGTGACACAATCATTTCGCGCCAAAATGTCACGTGTACGTGTTTGCGCCCTTTTCCTGGACTATTCTATTGAATGGAAATGAAAACTGCATGAATGATACATGTATAAAATATGTTCTTTTTTGTCGGAATCATGGTCGAGCTTAATTTGGAAAAAAAACCATATCGGTGATATTGTGAAGTGAGTTAGAAGTTACATCATTTAAAGTTTTTCAAACGAAACGAACAAAAACCTCTTAAGAGGATGCACTGGCCATACATACATCTGATCATACCCCCCACCCCCCACCCCCACCCTCCAGGGGGTTTCCTCCTACAAAAACAGAGTATATAGACTTATGAAAGTGTCCTCTCACATTTCAGGATTGAGAAAGTTTATTACTCTTTGATGTGGACCCCTCATTCCTGGGAAAAAAATCCTGAATCCGCGTCTGTCGCTATTTATATATCGCCGTCATGTTTGTTGGGTCATTTAAGAATATAGGGCTTTATTTATTCCACGTTTCCAACAATCGTTGATGCTCTGGCATACCCAAGAAACTATTAAACATATTCTGCATGTCAGTTATAACCATTACGATTCCCAATTTCTTGTAGTTATAATATTTTCAGCTGTCTTCCTCAAAGCATATGCTGAATGCAGTTGAATCTAATATATGTAACCTTTACATATAGCCATGCTTTCCAGCATTAATCAATTACATTAGTTTTTTCCCTTATTTACTTCATCCTCTAAAACCATCTTTAGACTCGCGTAGTGAGGTGTTCATCTTTACGTCGCGGGTTCGAATCTCCAGCGGCACATGTACATGATTTCATTTTTTATTTCAGATACAAACAATATATACGATTTATATATAAAATGTGTTCTTTTTCCATTGCTCTGATGAGTATCATACAACTTAAAATGAATGCATGTTGTTTTGTGCAACATCTTCATAATTTACTCTAGTGAAACAATTTAACCCCCCCCCCCCAAAAAAATAAACGTTTATAACTTATCATGCTCATAGGTTCTATAAATATTGATGGCATTAGTCAGGCAAGCTTTTTGAAAAGCTGTTACTATAAACAGTACTGTATTGTATATAACATTTGCTTTTGTTGTATATTAAACGAAAAGTTAAAATTTATTCATACCATCATTGGGTGCATTTCGTCATGTACAAATTTGATATTATAATCACTTCGTTTCATTTAGTCACTTCCGCAATGTATTGTAACCGATATTAATCTTCAAATCACAAAAATAGATTTAATTCATTGGAATCCTTATTCCTTTCATGACAACATTATCATTGTTATTCAATCTTGATAAAAAATCAAAATAAAGAAGCAATAACATATATTTTTAAAATCATATCTGCATCAAATATTTCTATAATAAATCTCTTTGTGAAGCTCGTAATTAGTTTTTGTATGAAATATATTGACGAGTCCTCAGGGGATTTGACATAAAAGCGATATTTCTTAATAAACCAAGGAAGCAGTTCGTATATATACATGTATATATATATATGTCCGTCTGAAATTTCCAGCAGTTCATACGTAGGCCTCTGTTGATTTATAAAGCTATAGTTACATAATAAACCACCGAGACCTTCCTCATGCAATTCGAAAAAAAAAGTTACCTAAAAGCTCACAACAGGTGAGAGATATATTGGCAGTTTTGGGGGAAGTCGGTGTCCTCCATACCGCAGCCGGTACTATGTGAGGGTTTACGTGTTTATTTTCA